GGGCCCCTTTTTGCCCCCTCATTGGGGCCAACTCACGCCACCTCATTGGGGCCCCTTTTGCCCCCTCATTGGGGCCAACTCACACCACCTCACTGGGGCTTGGGGTCTTACACCCCATGGGCTCAGGTGTCCGCAGACGTGCCTGGCCCCCACTGCCTGTTCCTGATCCAAAATTACCCACTGGGTAGTGGGAGCTGGGGTTATAGCTGCCCCTACCCACCTTTTACTGGGAAGGCAACTGGCCTGGCATTTCTGGGGAACTACCCCACCACAGGTAGTCCCACCAGTCCATCCTTCCTGTGGCAGGGTATATTTTTTGATCTTGCCCCAGGACCAGGAACCTCCTGCCATCCCCATAGCTCCTGCCATTACTGCCAAGGTGTTTTGAGCAGCAGCTCAGCCAGGTGATGTTCTTCCAGCTGCTAGCAGCAGACTGTTGGCTCAGCCTTGAGGGCCTGAGCTAAAATGGAGGCCACTCAGCCCTCTCCTCCAATCCTTTGGTCCTCCTGCAGTCATGTGACTGCCTCATCAGGGCTGGTCTGCACCTGCTGGCTGCCCTGCTGTCAGCCCTTAAAGTGGTAGGCACTGAAGGTGCTCTACCACATGCATAAATACAAAGTGGGAAATAACTACTTAGAGAGTAATTCTGCAGAGACAGTCCTAATGGTGTGATAGCAAATCAAACTAAAATGCATCAACAATATCATACTAATCTGAGAAGCCCAGTACTATAATGGGATCTATAAACAGGACATATGAAATAATTATTCTACTGTATTCAATACTAGGAAGGACTCAGCTGGAGTACTGTATTCAGTTTTGCATACCACACTTCAAGAAGTATGTGAACCAATTAAAGAAAGTTCAGAAGAGTACAACTAAAATGTTCAAGGGCCTAGAAACCATGATCTACAAGTTTTTTGGGTTTTTTTTTTAGAAGAGAGAGAGAAAAAAAAGTGAGGGCAGACACGATAGCAGTCCTCAAATATTTAAAAGGCTACTGCTAAGAGGAAGCTTGTAAAATGGTAGATAGGATAAGAAATAATGAGCTTAAATTGCAACAAGGGAAAGATGGATTAGATATCAGGAAAAAAGTTTTCAACTGCAAGGATAGTTAAGTACTGCAATATACTACCTAAGGAGGTTATTAAAAACTTCCAGCAGAGATTCAAGACCAAGTTAAAAATATATCTATGAGGAATGGTTCAGGTATCAGGCTGATCCTGCCTGGGGACAAGAATACGGACTAAATAACCCTTTAAGCTGTGTCCATGTAAGAGTAGACATTTGTTTCCCTAGGGACAAGAAGCAGCAGTACACCTTGTGTTGCTGCTACTTGTCCCCAGGGAACACCTGTGCCTCAGGTGGGGTAGGGAAGTTGCGACCAGCAACCTCAGGGAGCTGCAGCCGTGGCGATCCTGTCGCTCAGAGCCTGGCCAGCTGCCAGAGTGTGGCTCCAGCCAGCGAGGCTCGTTTTGGATGGTGCACACTGCCCCCACATGCTGGATCTCCTGGGGTCAAAAAACCTCCCCATGCTGCTACCTTGCAGAGCAAGGAACACCTGTGTGTGCAGTGTGGGGCACCATAGGCGGATCTGCAGTGCCACATGGCCATGCTCATCTAGATGCAGCCTTAAATTCCTTCCCATCCCTATCTGCTGTTATTCTATTTATGCAGGATTTTCCCCATCTAACTTGAATAATTTAAAATACAAACTTATGTGAATAATTACAAAACACAAAACCAAGGTAGCACTTGGGAGATATGTACTTTTTATAAAAATAATTCTATTTAGAGCAGAGCACCTTTGGCCTTTTTATGCCAGAGGATGGCACTTTTGGTATGGATACGACTTACGTAATGCTGTATGTGGGAAAATCTTAACATGTTATTTATTGCAATCAGTTAAATTGCATTTAGGTATAATGCTGGACTTCATTATTTTTATGAATGCATTTATTCCAAGATCTTTTTAAGATCTAAACAAATTGTAAGAAAGATTAATTTGAGGGCACAAAACCTGGTATTAATTAGAGCAGAGGAACACTTTTAGTTGAGAACAAAAGTCTCCCTGAGGCCAATCAGTTTCAACTGCTCTTTTTCCATCCCAAAACTGGACATTTTTCCCTGACACAGTATCAGTGAGCTGTAACAAAAAGGGAGAAAGTATAGTTAAATCCAACAGGGCTGACATCTTTAGGTTGCAGACTTATGTAATGAGATCCTGGACCAAAAAAAGTTAATGGAAGTTTTGTTATCAGAGTCAAGATGCCAAAATTTCATTCCTTTGACTGCAGTGTACATGTACCCCACAAGGTATGTCAGGCAGGACCTTAATCTTTATAGGAAATAAATTCTACTTTGAATTCAGAGATGGACATTTTGTAAATACCTGTATTATTGACTGTGGCAGTGCACTGTGTGTGCCTGCCACTTTAAGGGCCTGGAGCGGGGCGCCGAACAGGGCCAGCCATTTTGAGGTAAGGGCTGCCTATATAAACAGTGCGGTTTGGCTGCTGGAGGCCAGGCAGCAACATCGTCTGGTCGGAGGGCTGCTGAGATCACCCGGAGGTAAGGGGGAGCTGCAAGGGGATGGTAAGGAGGCTCCTGGTCCTGGGCATGACCTGAAACTGCACCCTGCTGGGAGTGGGTGGCCTGGTGGGGCTCTCAGTAGCGCGGGAGCCCCCAGGAAATGCCAGGCCAGTTATCACCCTGGTGAAAGGCGGGTCGGGGCGCCTTAACCCCTAGCTCCCACCACTGGGTGGGTAACCCTATGTTTGTGGAGGGGCCCAGAGGGTGGACCCCGAGAGAATGAATGAGTACTGGGCATGGTGCTGTGGTTGCCCCCGGGAGAAAGGGGGTAGTGGCACGGTGAGCCCGAGGATAGAGAGTGAGGGGCTAGAGACCCAGCCCAAAGGAGAGAGTACCCTTGACTGGCCCAAGCTGGGGCCAGGACCAGGAGGGTCAAAAGGGCCAGGGGCCCACCGTGAGGGACGCCCAAGAGCCAGGGGCCTGGGGTCCCGACTGGCCTGGAGGGGGGCCAGGGCAAGAGGCCGAAGGTCCCGGGGGGACCACGCCCGAGAGGGGAAAGTAGCTTCGGGAGGGCTAGGTAGCTTGGATGAAGGCGGAGAGGCTGCCTGATAGGAGAGGATCATAGAGGGGTCCTGTATGGAAGATTCTGGGGCCCAGTGTGGGGCTGGTGATTATGTGAACACCATGATGCCATCTGTGAGGCTTGGGCTGCGGTATTGGGGAGGTAGGAGCCACAGAGAGCGCCCCCTGGCATCGGGGCACCAAATGGGTAGCCTCCCGCTCAATTGACATCTTAATTGAATCAATTAACATCAAAGGCGTGGCGGGCGAGATAGGCGGGCAGGCCATGGAGATCGGCCCCGAGGTGGCCCCCGTCACATTGACAAAGGAAAAAGTTCAGTTTCTGTCTCTTAGAAAATTATGTATACTCAATGTTACAATCACTGAAAATTTAGAGATTACAAATACAAAACAGCCCTAACCCATTTACAATATAACATCTTTAAAAATGTGTTCCAAATGGATATAAGACCAGAAATGCTACAAACACAGGTAACAAGTCAAAACTATAGTTTTATACACAATTTCCAAATGATTTTGATCATCCTAAACTACAGATATTTATTATGAATTCATTAAAACCTATATTACTACTAAGTATATTTTTTATTAAAAGAGTTTTGGAATTCCTGTGTATAATCCTGAAAATAACAATAAAATATGATTCTTACAAGCTCTCAGGCACTCATAAAGACAGACTTTTAAATGCAATAAGATATTACCTACAAAGATCATAGCATTCTGATATTTTCTAATTCAAGATATCATACAAACCAGACACAAAGGTTAAATTCTGGCCTCATTCAAATCAGTGGCAAAATTGCCATTTGGCATTGACTTCAATGAGGCCAAGATTTCACCCAAAAATATATCCTCACAGTAAAATCTGGAGAAGCAAAACCACAATCAACTATGTCACATTTCCAGCAAGCCCCTATGTATTTGATGAAAAACACAAAACAAAACACTAGCATGTGGTTACTGAGATAACTGTAGCACAGTCCTGCTCTGAGGGGAAAAGAAATAAATAAATTAGAAAAAAAAATGAATGCACTTAGTTCTTTTAACAACATGCAAGAAGACTGATGTAATCCCACTACATCCCACAGCAGTGATGGGAATGTACTGAAGTGACAGATTCATTCTCCTTAGTTCACTAAAACAGTGTTTCCCAACCAGTGTGCCGTTAGGCACATCCAGGTGTGCCGTGGCATTTTGGGCTGGAGCCACGCCCCCCCGCCTGCTGCTGCTGTGGACACAGATGGGGCACGTGACTCCAGCCCAGAATGCCATCCAGCTGGCCGCGTGCCATCCCCCGCTCCCCCGTCAGTGTCCAGATGGCTGCGCATCATGCTCACCCTGCTCTGCGTCTGGTGTGCTGCAGTGCTTTTTTTATTTGGGTAAGTGTGCCATGGGGCGGAAAAGGTTGGGAAACACTGCACTAAAATTTGTCTCCCGCCAAATAAGGTGGATACCTCACATATTGCATATTAGCATTTTCTCTTCTACCCTTAGTATCAGTTTTAATATTTGAGTCTGGTAATGCACACTAGTGAAAACAACTATAAGAAAAAAAAGGATCTTTATATCTGGGTTTCAATGTACTGTCCCCTAAGCTGAAATCAGACACATGTTCCAAATACTTAAATTTGTTGTGCTATTACAACAAATGTAAAACTTTGCTATGCAAGGATTCACAATGTTGTATTTATTTATGAGCATTCAAATTTTGCTTAATGTCTGCACTACTTTGTTTATATTCACTCCCTCTATTAACATTTTTATTGCTTTTTTGTATGCCTAAAGCAAAAAAGAAAAAGATAGTTATTCACAGTATTTCTTTTGAAATACATTTTGTCAAATAAAATGCCATGCAAGAAGTTCATATGAGGTTGCTTCGGTCCTACCTGAAGATCTGAAGAGACAGAACTGCCTCGATCTGAGTCTTTTGGTAAAACTGGACTTGTGCTTTTCTCCTCATCTGAAGACATTTTGCACAAAGACAATTCTATAAAATAGCAGAAGCTAAACTTCATTTTCCGGTTACAAGATTTTCATTTCTCTTTGTTGATCTAGAAAGTTGCTAGTGATATGGATTCTAATGTAGTAAACAGTTCACATTTGTTGTACTAATCTGAATGTAAAACCAAATTCTTATGCAGTGTTGATATTATATAATACCATGATTTCATATTCCTATCTACCTAGGCCCAGGTCAAAAAAGCCTTTTGAAAACAATGGAATGACTCCCATTACTTTCAGTGGACTTTGAAATTGGACCCTAAGCAGCAGCTCTATGACCCCTTAAGTCTTCTATAATTCTATAGGTTTTATAATTGGCTGAACAAGACTCCCACTGTGATTTTCTTCTGAGTAGTAGAATAAAAAAAATCATACTAAACACATTTTTATACCATATAGTAAACTCCAGAAACATCAGCCTTAACTCGGAATCACGTGGTTTTCATCAGTTTAAACTCAGTCCTTTCATCTTACTTATGGTGTACTGTTTTGGATCTGATTTTCTTGTTTTTCCTATATAGAGGTTTTGTAGCGCTTAACTCTTCCATGATCCTTCTTCATTGAACTAGATGTTTCCTTACCCCTACACTAGGTGAGGCCATGCCCAGAGTACTCCTGCTGTCTAACCCTGAAGCCTTTTCTAATGGCTAACATCATTTCCCACTCAACTCCACTATTCCCCACCCTATGCCTGGGATGGAAGCAGAACACAGACGGTTCCCTATTCATTTCCAAAAAACTGCCAAACATTCTAGCCACTCCTAAGGAAGGGAATGGGACAGAAGTGACACCTTGCAGGGATCTTGGATGTAGTGATGCTGTGGAAGAGTGATAACACTTGAGGTCTGACTAAAGGAAAGGTTCAGACCTACTGCAGCTCTAAAATAGCCACTGCTGAGAAAACAGATTTTACAGAGCACTGAAAAAACCTGATTATTTTTGGGATACAGGGAAAAGAATGGATGCATAGGGGGTAATTGCAGACTCAAGTGGGGGGGTATAAATGCATAAAACAAGGAAAGATTAACTGTAAAAGACAATGTGGTATAGTTGTCTGATGTGCATGTGAAACAATATCAGCTGTTTGTATAAATAAAAGTAGGAAGAGTTGCGTTGAGTACATACACAGAGAGGATTTCTGTGCAAAGACCCGCACAAATAACATTAAAAACTTGCTGTTTATACAGACAAAACAATGAACAGACTATATAAAGAAAAATGAAAAACATTTTTTCTTCCCCTAGGCATTTGCAATTAGTGACTTTAAGGGCTTGTTTTTTTTTAAGTATTTTCCAAAAGAAACAGGATTTTGAGTTACTAAAATTCTTTTCAATTTTACTGCCTTTAACCTAGCAGAGAGTAACCAACTTAAGCATCTCCACTGTTTTAGTTTCCAAAATGTCATATGCAAACAGATGTCCTAGTCTTTTGCCCCTACATATAAAAGTGCAGATGGAAGTTGTGCAGAAAAAAGGGGAGACTCCATACAACGTTTCTTCTTTCTCCAGGCAAGTTCTTTGCCACTGGAAAAGTTGTTTCCTTTTTACTTTCAACACCTGTCAAACTTAGATTATTTCCCATCTTTTCTGGTGGGAGTAGGAAATTTGCTTTCAGACAGAAGTCACATAAGCAAAGTCTTAGCCAGACTGAACTTTTACACAGCTAAGTATCAATCACTATAAAAAGGTGTTAGCTATGCAAATGATGACAGGACTTGTGATGCTCAAAGCAGTAGCACTATAATAGTTCACTTCACAAAAATTGACTTAAAAATGAAAACACATATTTATCATTAAAGGCCTTAATCTTGAAACTAACTGTATATGAATATATAATTGTATTCACACGAGATTCAATAGTTCACTTATGTGTTGCTGGCTGCATGATGATGACCCAAACCCATATTTATATGGGATACTATACATATGTGCCCTAGCCCACTGACTACAATCCCCTCCCAGATCAACATAGCCAAGAAAAAAAGATAAAGGAAATCTTTAAGCTATTTCCCCATCATGACTTTTGAACCTGCATTATTGTATTTTATGTAAACTAGGTATACCGAAATGCCTAAAAAGTTAAACACTTGCTGAAATTCACATCTGGGTTTGTTGGTACTGACAGCAGCTGTTGTAGATACTTCAAAGGGCAGAGATGCAGCATTTCCTATCCTCTGAAGTTTCCATGACTCAGGGGAGGGGAAGTTAGTCTCAGCATGGAGACACTGACATTTTAAAAATTTTGGAAAGAGAATTTAAAAGCTATGATTTCTTTTGGCCCAAAATCAGAAAGAGGATTATTGTCTCTAATGTTAAAACCCAATATACTAGCTTACGCATCCACAACACTTTTCTATAGCACAATGAAGTCCTAATTGCACCCCTCTGATTTATGCTTCACCCAAAGTTTAAAATCAACTGTCTGGCAGTGGCAGCCAAGGTTCCTTGGGTGAATTTGATATCTTTTATTAGACCAACCCAA